GAAGTATATATAATTAAATTTTTGATACAACGAATTTTTAAAAACGTTGTTACACATTATGAAAACATATAAAAATTTGTTGAAACACGATTAGTAACCTTGTTTAAACGGATGTTGAATAAATTTTCTTATATAATATGTCCAGCCACTTCGTTGAAACAAGGGCAGACTGTATGTAGATTTAGCAAAAAAAAGGGGGCGAAATTAGCTTCTAATTCTAGTAACCCCTTAGAAATTTTTATAAATGTGCCCTAAAATGTTGCGGAAATCGGTGGATATGGCTCGCTAATTTATTTTTTATTTAAATTTGTTTTGAAAAATTCTTTCCGCGCGAGTATAAGAAAGAGACAATCAAAAAAATATAATTTCCACAATTGAATAAAATTTAATTCTTAAAAATTTTTTACATACACAAAATATCTACAAATTTATTTTCACCATGAAATATAAGGTTCTTTTGGATTTATTATTGCAATTGGTATTCTTATTTAAATTATTTTGAATGACATCATAATTTGGTGGAGCTTCTTTATAACCTATAAACTCAAGAGGTTAATCATTATTTAAATTTTGATTAAGACACCGAACGAATCGGCGAAACTGAATATATACTAATATTATATTATTATTTTATATGACTGAATTTAAAATTTAAAATTATATCAATCAATATAACAAGCAAGGGCTTTAGAATTCTTAATATCAATTCAAAGAAATTGTCTGATTGAAAAAAACTGCAAACTGCTTTGTAAAACATCGGCCACGAAATAGTCACAACCACTAATAAACACACAACTTACGTATAAAGTTGTTCCTCTGTAACTCGAACAAAGATTTAGATTAAAATAGTCCTGATTTTGTCGCTTTTAAAAAGTGAGTTGCAAAAGCATGGTTGAAAATCCAACAAATATTGAATTGACTTTAACAGTTAATAGAAACATGGATATTGCTTTTTAACAATGATTTTGTTAAACATTTTGTTGAGTAAATGAATGAATGCCATTGATTTAATTGACAAAAATGGGGAAATGGGAAAAAATATCAAAATAAAAAAACTCATATTGTACTTATTAGAGTATTTTCTTTGAAATGAATGGTTAGTTTATTTAAAAAACATCAGATTGTTTTTGTTGATATTGAATGTTTAACTAGTCAATAAATGTAAAAATTAAAATATAAATGAAGCTTTAAAAAAAAAAAATAATAATAATTCTAACAATTTTATCTGAGAGCTATAGAAAAAGCAACTACTAAGGAAATCTTCAAAGATATCCTTATTTACAACATTTTCCCCATTACATGGCTATTGAATGAATATAAATACCCCCCTGTTTAATTACTACCAATTAATAATACTAATTATTACAGGTGCCACTTAATGACTGTTAGTTATAATAACTTTAAAGTTCCTACATGGTTGGTTGCGTTATAAGAAAGGAAAAATGTACTTTCTTGTATCAAGATTGTGTATGTTAATGTTTAAACCAGATGTAATATTTTCATAAGAAAAGACTTTTCTATAAAAGTCCCTAGTGAATGCGATTTAATGCGATTAAAATTGTTTGCAAGTAGTTAAGTTAAAATGCAAAGTGCCTGTAAAGCTTCGTCCATAACCAAGTTAGCATATGACCACTTTTCTTATTTAAACATATGAAAATTGGGTACAAAATTTCATGTGACGATAGCCAATCAAATGGATTTTCGATCATGGCACCTTGAATTACTCGGAAGCCATCAAATAAACTCTACTTGCGCATTAAGCAAAAGTTGCTCTACAGGTAAAAATAACTTGAATACGCGTGTTTTAATATTAAGTTTTGGTAAAAGATTTGTCGCTATTTGTTGCTAGGTTATGATTAAATATTTGTTAACATTGTTGCAAAAATAAATCCTTGGCCTAATTGATTCAATAAATATAAATGTGTTAATGATTTTATGAAAACACGAATTCGTAACACAGCCATCAAGTGAGGTCACATAAATCCAATACTATAACAAAATTTTCTTTTTCTTGCCAATGATTTCAATGATTTGTTGGCTTGCCCGAAATTAATTTTGTGTTACACTATGGCTGTGATCATCACCAAACACGTGAATATCGTCACGATCTAATAATATGTTTATGAACAAATTCATAATAAGATGATTTGATTTTGATTGAATTGATTTATTAAATTAATTACTTATGAAGTATTGTAGATAGGGTAATTATTTTAAAAAAATTTTATATATATATAATATATAAATATATAACGAGTTTTGTCAAGTTTTTATTAAAAAAAATAAACTTCAATTTTTTTACCAAAAAATTATTAAAAATATGGACAAAGATAGCATCGCAATCAAGGTTAGTTGTAACACTAATAATATAGAGACAGTTACTCGTAAAATTTCTATCCATAAGAACATAAAGTTGGAAGAATTGGAATACAAGGTATGAATAACAACAATAACAAAATGATAGCGTATAGATGTGTTATATATATTAATATATTATCATTATACAACAATTACACATTATAGATACGGGAACGGTTTAATATAAATTATGATAAAGGAATTGATATCTTTTATATTGATGAGGAAAACGATCGTATTTATGTGACTCACGAAGAAGAATTGTTGCTTGTTTTAAAAAGTCAGGAATCACCAAAATTTGATGTTGTTGTTAAATCTGTTAAATCAAAGGTAAAAAAAAAAAAATACAAATCATTGATTTATATATACATTCATATATATATATTTGATTGATATTTTTGATAAAACAAAATCAATGTTTACTAATATTTTATGTATTACACGTTACTGCTATTATTATTATTTATTATAGATTGTTGATGATTCGTTCAAATATCCATCAATTCCCAAATGTAAAATTGGAGATATTGTCGATGTATTGATTGAATCAAAATATTTAACTACTTCATACGTATCAAAGAGCGGTACAAAAGCTTGGGGAACTTATATTTTTACTGATGATTCAGATATTGTAAAAGGTATTTATTATCTATAAACAATAATAGAAATGATAGATGGATGTTATAATTAATTTATTCCAATTGATAGTACTTGTAACTAATTTTTTCTAATTGTTTAATTTTTAAAGCTCTTGCACATTCTGAAAAAATAGAACTTACAGATACTCCACCTTCACATAATGTAATTGCAACTATACGTTTTTTGCCTGGCTGTCTTGAATACGTTGGATCAACTAATCAAGGGATATCAACATTGGATTTCAATGAATACGACTTAAGTTACGTTATTGAAAGTGTTAGAACTGTTAGAAAATCTTCTAAAAGTTCAAGTGAAAAAAAATCTTATTATTAGTTAAAATATCAATTTATTTTCTTTACGCTTTTAGAAATAAAACCTAATTATTTATCTAGGATATGTTTATTTGGCAGTTCATTATATACATGACGTACATATATATATATATATGATATATATATATATATATATAACATAACGATTCTATTATAATTATTTAAATCAAATAAAGTTTATTTATTAAATTTCCTTTTCTCTTCAAATTAATAATAATTTTCTTCTAATTCCAATGTAATTAATAATTAATTAATTATTCTATCTCTTCCTTCATCACACATACACACACTCACTACTCTCATTTAATAAAATTTGTCTTTTATAAAGTAAAAAAAGATGATTAATTATTAATGTGTTTTTAGTGAGAAATTTACAAATTAAAAAAAATTAAAAAAGTAATCCACATTTCAAAGAAAAAAGTAAAAAAGAATATAGGAATATTGAATTTTTTTAAAAAAAAATTCTCAAGCAGTTGATTTTGATGGGGTTTTAGCGCCCTTGGTAGGTTTCTTTGGAGATGCGGTTGTTGTTCCAGATTTACTGGTTGTCTTTTCACCTTTCTTTTTAGGAAGTAATTCGACGTGAATGTTGGGTAAAACACCGCCTTCGGAAATATGGACATGCCTCAACAATATGTTTAATTCTTCGTCATTTCGTATAGCAAGTTGTAGATGCCGTGGGATGATTCTTTGTTTTTTGTTATCACGTGCTGCATTACCTGCCAATTCGAGGACTTCGGCTGTTAGATATTCTATGACAGCAGCCAAATAAATTGGTGCGCCTGCTCCAACACGATCTGCATAACGACCTTTTCTGAGAAGTCTTCCTATACGCCCAACGGGAAAAGTTAATCCTGAAGATAATAATAATTTTGAGAGTGAGTAATGAATGTATCATTTTTATAAATATATATATATATATATAACCAAATAAATAAACGTAAACGTAAAATGATGAATATACCTGCTTTAAGACTTTTTGAAGTTTTTGTTGTACCAGTTGAAACACCTTTGGAACCTTTAGTACTTTTCTATTTATTATATTATTTTTGAAATAATAAAATAATTTATTAAATTTATTTCCTTTTTTTCCTCAAAAAAATGATAAAATTATAATTATTAATAACGACCCACCTTAGCTTTTCCACCAGTACTAGATGCAGTGGCAACAACAGGGTCATCTGAACCAGCTGGAACATTATTATTATCTGAGGTTCTTGCACGAGAACTTCTTGCTTCTGGTTTTTCAGCTGTAGACATTTTTTTTCTTTTTTGTTTTAAATAAATTTATTTATTTTCTTCTTTAATAATAAAAATATATTTTAATCCGTGCGATATGTTGTTTATTAATAATGTTATTATTATCGCTTATTACTTACTATCTATCTATTGATGATTTTTATCCAGCTAAATGTAGTTGTTATGAATTTTTTAATGGATGAAAATTTTTGTGTAAAAAGTGTAAAAAAAAATATTTTCTAGTAATATTTTTATATTTATATATTAATTTTACTGTAACAAATAATAAATAAATATGCAATCATCATCACATAAACTATTATCATTACCAAATTTGACCTTTGAGGAATTCAAAAACTTGTAAATCCTTACCAATTCTGATTAATTCCTTGTCTAAACAAGTATGATTTTCAAATTTTAGAGGAAAAAAAATTATTTTAATGTTGTTGTTATTGTTATTGTTATTGTTTATATTTTTTTTTTTTTGGAAACAATCTTATTCTATATTTTTACGCGTACGTGCTATATTATTGGAGAAAAAGCATCATTGGATCGCGCGAGAAAATCAACGCGTTCTAATTAGTGGAACAGTAGCATCATCATCGCAGAACAAAATAAATTGACGAGAGGTTCATTAATAATTACTGACAATAATGTATTATAGAGATTCTTTTTATTATTCAAAGAAATGTTTGTGAGCTTTTTTGTTTTTACACACACACATGGAATAGTTTAATTCCTTGTCAAGCCCTGCTTTATGTACGGAACATCATCATCATTTGTTTTATATTAAATTTTGGGTTCTCACTAAATTTTATTAGCCTATTTCGTGTCAATGAATGATTATTAGTAATAAATTGATAATGAGCTAAATCGTAATGGTTATTGATCGAGTCTGTTGGATCTATAAAATATAATAAAATTTCCATAATTATAGTCGGCTAATAATGAATCATTCATTCTGGAATTTCCCGTGTTGATGATAATGATTTGATAATGATTGTAATCATAAAACATAATATAACACCAATACATCTATTATATAGCAGATTCATTTATATTTCCTCATACTTACTATCCCACTACTTACTGTTATAATTCTGAATAATTATCTTGATAATTAAAGCTTCTAATTGAGATTTTTACCCGAAATTCCATTAGCCAATTGAAAAATATCTTTATTTGTAAGCGAAAAATAATTTTTTTTGTATTAAAAAAAAAAAAAAACCAGTTTAAACCGAATAATTGCGCGCAAAAAAAAGTCTTGAAAATTTGAAAGGGAAGAAGCATAATTTTAAATCAAAACTTTAATCATTACATTGAAAACTCGAGACAAAAAGATATTGGAGGATACAGATTTATCAATTACTTGTTCAAATGGCTTGACCTCTTCAAAAAAAACCTCATAAATTTCTTTCATGAACTCTCTTCCCACTCAAACAAGTTACTTACTATTATAGTTTGTGTTCGTCTGTCGTAATTAGTAATAACACTTATTCTCCTTTATTAGCGCTGTGAGTGTCATTTGCACCAATGTTTAATGATTAATAACGAATAGAATTCGCTTTATTTATATTTTTTTCGAATAAAAATAACACTGTGTGTGTATGTGTGTGTATGTATATCTATCTAGTTAGTTCTAATTAATTAGAATTTTGTTTTTTTCACCCAAAGGATTTCTCCTACGACTACTTTCTATACGGTTTGTGGGAGAACAACTAACACCAGTTGATCTTGGAGGTATCCCAAACATACATTCATTATGTAGTGTAACCAGATGGATGTTTCAGAAGTGGAACTATATTAGATATTAATATATCCAAATAAAAATTTATCAATTTGTTTGATCCAACAAACTCCCACAAGAATTCTGTTTGTAGTGTGTTATATCAGCTTATTAATATTAAAATCGTTGGCTAAATCTAATTGAGATATTAAATCAGTCCTAGAACTGGTTTATACACAAGAATATAAAGTTTATTATCTACCGCTTACGCTATCAGCTGCAAAGCATAATAATGCTAGTACTAGAGTTAGAAAATACACTATTTTTATAAACAATTTTTATTATAATAAAATTTTGCCATCGTTTAATTATTTTTAAATCATTTATCACGTGATCGTGATTTCTGCAAATGATTTTCTGTTTATGATAGGACCTCGCAAACTTCATGGATAAGTTACTATTACTGCTGCATCTGGGTCAAATTCATATTTAATAATAAATTAATTTTTTTGTCAGTGATTCTAATAAGGTCAAATTATTTATAAATTTAAAAATTTTACAAATGTCAAATCTATTATATTCAACTTCCCAAAATCGTGTAACAAAATTTTTTCTTACGTGCTTATTCTTTATAGTAAATTATAAAAATTAGTGAATTATTATTAGTTAAATCAATTGATTGGTAAAATTATTTTTGTTACATTAGACGTTTCAAAATTTTTAATATTAGTATATATTATGGGTTCTTTTTTCTAATGTTATTGCAAACCTTAGGGTCAAGTTCTTAATTTTGGTCGGGTCAAATCATATAACAAACAAGAATTTTTGTTACTAACTATCTATGAAGTTTGCAAGGTCCTCATATGATACTGTATGTTTTGAAAAGGTAAGAGTAATTTCGCCTTGTATTTAAAGTCTGAATTGCAAGTATTGAACAACTTACATATTAGAAATAAGGTATGTTTCTCTTTTTAATAAAAAAATTTCGTTCCACCACATAAATTTTTTTTTAAATGGCTTGTTTTTTGTAAATCACATGTCCAAAACACTCATAAATACCTATCTTCCACCTATAATAACAACTATAATTTCTACATCAGATAATAAGGTAATGTATGCATGTTCATAAATTAGAAACGTTGTGTTGATTGCAGATGTTTCAAATTTGCTGCATTCAGAGATTAAATAATTGTGAAGCAGAGAGACCCTTGGTCAATTAAAATGCTATTCCACTAAAATTTTTTTTTTCTTTACCATCATTTACAACTACACAACACTTTCTCTATAATTGGTGGTTGTAACACTCGTTGATTTCAGAACTGTTTCATTTATATCATTATGTAGTTTAGGCTTTGATAAATAAATATTCCTTTTAAAAAACATTTTATGATGAGAAAATTTAAAAGATATTATCAAAAACTAGGCTTCGTATGTGTAATTTCATTATGCGCGTTTTTGGTAATTAGAAAGAATAAGTATCCCGATACTTTGGTTGGTTTTAACATATTAAATTATTAAATCCGTCAACTGTTTTTCTTTTGTATTTCAATAAAGTATGATATTTAAAACCACTGTCAAGTTATAACTTATATAATAAAAAATTTTCTCAAAATATCCTTTGGTAAATAAATAAAAATAAAGAACATAATTTTTTTAGATCATGATATTATAAACAGTCTTGATAAGTGCTTATATTACATGTTAAATTACCAATATTAACATTATTTAACTAATCATTACGAAAATTTAGACCTATCTATTTCAGGGCATTCTTATGCTGCCTAGACGTGTTTAAACATGACAATTAGGTTCAATTATCTGTCGAAAAATTTTGGTTTGAATTTTAAAGTTAATTGTGAATAAAATATAAAACTTTTGAGTATTTTTATCGTGATTGTTTTTCGGTGATCTGACAATAATAATAATATTCACAAAATTATAGATGTATTTATAAAATGAAAGAAATAAATCGAAATAATTCTTAAATAATACAAAATCATATAATTAAATAATTCCATAAAATACAAAAATTTATTATTTAAAAAATATTATCTTATTGTAATACCAGCATTATTATGGTCCTCTCCGTTGGAATTGGAATTCTTCTCCTTTGATATAATGTTACAATTACCAATTACAAATGTTGATATTACAACCAATGCTATTCCAATTGCAACTACTATTATTAATACTTGAATAATGTTTTGTGGTGATGATGTTGTTGTTGATGATATATCTGATGATGATGATGACGATTGTGATGATGATGGGTGGTGGTGGTGATGACGGCGGCGGCGGTGCCTCAGATGTTGAATAACTTGTTTTCCAGCTATAATCTTTAATATTTAGTATATAAGTGTTTGCACTAGTTGATATTGACTTGACTCATTATTTGTGATATTTCCTATATATATACACTCCCTGGACAAAAGTTTCGGTCACTACAAAACAAATAATTACGCAAAAACGTACATAATAAAACACAAATAAATTTCATTGAATTGTGACTAAAGTTCTCAAGAATATGTATGCAAAATTTCAAATTTTTATAATGTTTGGGAGAATAACAGTTAAAAAAAATATACTTTGAAAAATATATATGTATCCAGCTTCGTCGTATACAGATATGTCTTTTTCCATTTCGTTTCTTATCGAAACTCTAATATCAACTGGTAGTCTCCTGTCGATATAATCTATAATCATAAAGAATAAATTTATAATAATGACAAAAAAAATATTTTATCCACATTATAAAAGAAAAAGAATACCCACCTTTCGCTTTTATATGTTGGTAGTTTTGTCTACCAATTCTAA